CACATGTACCCTACCTCTAGAACCCACGTTAATGGAAATGACATGTACTTTGAGAAGAATTTCAATGTAATTATGCCTCCTTATGCACAGGGGATTATGTTACACCAGAACATTTTTCCAAATCATACTGTACCTAAATATATATATATACGATAAACTGCATGGCGTCAGACTCTACAAATCTGAACCAACACCAGCTAAGTTGTGTTAAACTGATTTCCTTCTGGCATCACACAAATTGTACCCTGCTGGGCAATCTGGGACACAACCCCCTGAGAAGGTTAAAACAAAACCTTTTTCTTTAAATAGAAAAAAGAGATAGGATTTCTAGACCTCTAATCCAAGGGGTTGCAACCATAAATAAAAGAGTAGAAAATTAATAATAGTAATAATAATAAAAGACAGAGGAAAGACACTATTTTTCTGCTGAATGTACTTTGGCAGGTCTTGGCAGAGTGGGAGGAATGGACTCCGTAACCCCTCCAGCTTCCTGGCTTTCCAGCCATCACCCAGTCCTGAATCAGTCCTGAATGTTCAGGGCTCGCCCCTGTGCTACCTGACCTGAACTCAGAGCTCTCAGTGTCTGACACGACACCTGAGTTCCAAATATTGGTAGACAGAACTAACCTGCTTCAGCAAGAGCTAGGTCTTAGCTGCTCTAGAATTTAGTGTTTTTTTGTTGTTGTTTATTTTTTGTTAATTCATTTTCTCCCACAGCAGGAATAACTCAATAATGATTGATCAATATGGTCCCTTCATGGGAGAAAAGATCAAAGCAAGAGCAGCCTCTAGTACAGGAACAATTGCAACTAGGACATAAAGTCCTTTATGCTGATCAAACTTCCTGAAGTACTGATCATTTAGTGTATGGACGACATTCTCCCCTCCTGCTCATCTTACCAATAAGTAAGCGAATGCTTAACTTTTATAATAAATAAACCAAAGGAGAGAAACTTAAATTTTGAAGCCAAGTCAATTGAACACATTCTTATCTTGCCCATCACTACTGAAGATTTGATTCCACTCTTTAAGCTGCTTTTCTTGAGACCCTCATTTAAAATCTGTAAGAAATGTAACATGGGAAGCAGGGCAGGCTGTTAGCTTATTACATAATGCTGCTGGTAAAGTGGTAGCTCACAGAATGAGTCTCTTGCTTCCTTATCAATTACTTACCTTTCCTCTTTAGTGTTTACTGGAATTATATGTCAACAAGGTATTATAAAAAAAAATGTATGTATGTCATAATTCTCCACAACAAACTGTAACTTATTTTCAAGAAATTGAAGACTAATGGTGGGAAGGACATGTTTTAAACAACCTACTGGTAAAGAGCCTATAGAAATCATTGTGCCACTAAATAAAATGTAGGTTATTTGTTCCACACTGAGAATAATTGACAGACTGCATTATATTATTACTTTGGGTAACATTATTTTGGATAATGATAATAAATAATCATTATCCAAAAGATCCCCTTTTATGACTTTTTTAAAATACCTATGGGTATTGTTTAAAATTACATTTAAAATTCTATAAAGATTGCTTTCAATGCTTCTACAGATGGCTCTTCAAAAGAACAAGGTTTGTTATGTTTTATATACAAATTCCACATGCTTCACCCCTGGTTGTACAGCTTAATAGTTGGAACTTGCTGTAACCAATCAGCTTTTATTAGATGTTTCTCGGCCACTGAATATTTTAAGTATTACAGTATCCTATACTCCCTCCATTTTAACTATTCAACTGTGCAATTACAGAAAGACAGGAGCTACAGACAAAAGGTATGTCTCTGTTTCAATGAAATGTTACTTACAAACTACAGGGAGACTCCAAACTATGCACAAAAACAGATGCAAGCCTATAAGATGGCTCAGTGGGCAGAGGTGCTTGCACACAGGTCCAAACACCTGGGTTCAACCTCCTGATCCCACAAGGTGGCAGGAGAGAGCTATCTTCTCAACTCCATACAATTGTGCACATCTGCACTCACACGTATACACAATCACACATATAATTACACACAACACACACACTACCAGAGCCTTTGGATGACAGTGCTTATGTAGACAACTTTGAAGCTAGCTTGACATTAACAATGTCATTCTAAGTGGTGGTTTTCCCATGATAATTTCTATTTGGCCAGGAATTATATTTTGAAAAGAAAACTGTGTCTCTTATAATCTCTAAGGCCTAAGAATAATTTTTTGGGGGACAGAAGGCAGGGAAGGCTGGGTGAAGAACCAGGTAAAAGAATATTTGTCCATTAACTATTTGCAAAGATTGGTAGCAAAACTAAACAAGACAAAGAAGTGCAGATAATTTTTGCTTCTGCCATCCGGATCCTCGACATCACAGCGCATGTGATTACAAGTGCATATCAAGACCTGGGATATTTTTAAGTGAAAACTTACACTTTCATAGACACGAAGACAAAAGAACACACAAAAGGCATCTCTTATGCAGAATGAATTTTCTTTTCTCTTTGATCTTTTTTTTTTTTCACATTAACTGTGCATTTTCATTAACAATTATGGCCTCCTGAAAGGAGTTAGCAGAATGCTGTTGGGAAGTGAGTGGTAAAAATCCCAGGATAGATCTGATTTCTTCTCCAGCCTCCAACCATCACTTTAAGAACTTGCACTGTACATCACAATCTTTCAAAAAACAGATTTCTCCACTAGCAAAGCAGATTTTTGAACCTTAAAATGCAGGAAAAAAAAATACACGTGCTTCTTTCCTATTCAAAAGGTTAAGTTCATCTAGAATATAAAGAATTAAATTAAAAAAAAAAATCACAACTTTAGAACTAAATCTGTCCCCAACTAGATAGCTGAGGTTCTCTTTTCTTTTGAAATTACTTTGTGGAATCTTTTTGATAAAGGTAGGGACCTGTAAAACAAAATGGATATAGGGATGCTCTCTACTTCTGGCCAGAGAGGAGAGGTAAAGATGAGTTCTCAGAACGTTGCCTAAGTTTACCTCATGCCCAGGAACACGTGATCCGTGGCTCACTGTGCACGTATGAGACTGCAGGACAAGCTGTACACCACCAGCTAATCCTGTCACTTTGTAAACCTCAGGCCTGACCTTCAGTCCGAAGGTTAGACTGTAAAGGGCACTGCCCCAGTGAGCTTCTAGAGCTGGTTCATCCTTCAGCATTAACCCATGGACAGGTGTTCTAAACCCTAGCATGACACTGGGTCCCACTGCAAGGACCAGGATCTGCACATGGGCTGCTGCACAAGGGCTAACGCTCTGCCCAAGACTGACGTCAGGCTCTGCAGCGGGGCTCCCAAGTCTGCTGCTGGAGCCTGCCACAGAGAGGTCAACTTAAGTTATTCAGTTAGGAATAATTCTAAAGCAAAAAGTCTAAGTATTTAAAGTGACTTAAGCTATCATTATGTTAGAGACACTGTTGTCAAATACTTTTAAAAGCTGGATGAATCTATGTTTAATTCTTTTAAAAAAAATCATACCTATCCAGAAGAATTCTCTCATTTTCTTCAGGAAAGAAAATATTAATTCTGCTAGCTAATAGCAAATAAATAAATAAATCATAATAATTAGTGCAAGAGGGCCAAGTAAAACAAAGACCTAAATTAGGGATGCCCTACCACCACCACCCAAAAAACCTTGCTAGCTAATTATAATTGACATTATAGAGAAATTTTTTAAATTGACTTTATTATTGTGTTTCTCTCTGTATGTGTGCACATATGTGTGTGCGTGTGTGTACATGAACCACTACACATGTGTAGAGGTCAGAGGACAACTCTCAGGGGGTCATTCTTTCTTTCCACTGTGGTTCCAGGAACTTAATTCAGATCTTCAGACTTGCATGGCAAGCACTGTTCCTCCTCCTGATGATTTACCCCGCCAACTCAGCAAGAGAAATTTTAACTTCAGTGTTAAAATGAAAGAATAGAATCCAGATGGCTAATAGAGATTTTGTTTGTTTTGTTCTCTTTTTTAACAAACACGTAATCTATAAATTTTAAATTTTTAAGAACTCTTCCACATGTGGGAATGAGTATTATTTCTAAGAAGGAAATTATTTATGATGTGCTCATTAGAAAAAAAATATATAAGGTTGACTCTGTTAGCTTTAATTGCCATTGCTGGTTATATCTACATGAGTGAACCCAAGTCCCAGCAAAACTCGGTAAACACAGGCACTGGGCTTAGACTTCAGTAAGTTTGCTCTGAATCTCATTTCAAAACTGTTAGAATAACTAAGATTACAAATGCATAACTAAAGAATACTACACATGGTAAAAAAAATTAAAACTAAAAAACCAAACTCTACAAAATGCTTCAAGGTAGATTCTACTTTATCTATATTCTCTTAACAAAGTTTCACAACAGCCTGTGAAGTAGACAAAGCACCTGTGTTAGTCTCATTTTACATAAAACAAAGTAGTAGAGCTCGTATTTAAGTATCTAATACTACCCTTTACCCCTCCTCAGTAGGGCTTTCTGCTAGGGACCAATGACAGATGCAGGCATCAATCAGCACTGTGTCTCCAAGAACACAGAGGATTTTGACAGGTCAGGAAATAATATATGCAGAAATCTAGAGGCAGGGAGTGAAGTGAAGGGAATGCTAGGCTGGTTGGCAAAGGCAGACAGGGTTACAGGCGGGTTGAAAGAACGGAGAGAGCTTTAAGTCTGGCTAAGTGCCTGCACGCTGCTGTAGGCAGAAAGAAATCTTACAGTATGTTCTGTACTAGAGTAGACTGTAAACTAATGACAAGGATCTAAAATGGGAAGTGCTGTGGTGAGATAGGACTTTGAAAAGTCCTCTGCAAGGCACTAACTGGTCTAAAACAGAGAAAAATAGTTGAAGGCTACCCTCACAGCCCAGCACGAAGATCACACATCACAGACTGAAAGCGACGCAATTGCCGATATGGCTCTTTTAAGTCCTCACAACTCTCCTACAGAGTTAGGACAACATCCCACGTTATCTTGAATTTTCTTACACTTTATCTAAAACTTACCGAATCTTCTGGAGGTCTCTGGATTTTACCCCAGTCTACAGAAGGTCCCTTTTCTTGCAAAAATCTATGATATAGCTTCCGAAATCCATCAAGATCTTTTTTAGTATGCTGTGAAAATGGAAACAATTGTTATAAACAGCCAAACATTTAATACATAGTAAACAAGATGCAGACTATACTTTAAAAATACATTTAAGTGAAATTCTTACACTATTAGAACATAAAGTAGGACCAATTTTTAAGGCCTGTTTGAAACAGAAGTAGGAAAACTAAAAGGAATTCTATTTAAAGGATTCTTTAACATAAAAGCTAAACTTCTCCCTACCCTCAGCCAGTCAGTTATCACGTAAGTAGACAGTACTTGGTTCCAATGAATTTCAACATGTTCCCTATCACATACCACTATTTTTTTCTACCTCTGAGTACAAAAAAATTACACCAAAAGAACAAAAAATAAAACATAACTAACCTCAAAACATTAAAAAAAAATGAAGTACAACAACTGAAATTGAAAGATAAAAGATAATGTCAAGAAAAGTAAAGCTTCTCAGCCCTGGGGAACTCCTATGATAGCTCCCAGGAGCACAGTTCTGATAGGCTGGCTTTGGGAAACAGGCAAGAAGAGTACATGGTGACAGGAACTTCTCACAGATCCCACTAATCACAGGAACCACTTCTCTACCCAATAATATTAAAACACAAAGTATAATTCTGTCCATACGCTTTGGTGACTTAGGAATTTCCTCAGCTTAAAAAAAAAAAGTAGTTTTACTGTTCAGCAAATGTTAAAGGTCCTTGGCTGTTTTAACAAGGCTAACTTTCTGGTGTCACATCCCAAGCTTATTTCAGGCTGGAAAACCAACACTGGCATCAACTGAGTATGTGGACACACAAATCAAAAGACACTTTCAAGTCCTTACCTCAAACTCATGTGAGGTTGCTGTTGTGAGTATTTTTTCTAATTCTTTCTTCACAGATAATTCTAGTTCTTGGAGAATGACTTCTTGGAACTGAGAAGCACCATCTTGAGACATCGCTTTGCTAAGGTCTTAAATTAAAAAAAAAAAAAAAAGCCACGGATTAAAATCAGCCAGCAACAAGGAGACTTACGAATTGTGTTATTTCTAGATTAGTTAAGGTGAAGACTCACTGGCCTTTGCTTTTTAACAAAATGGACGTATGCTAAACAAAGTGTAGTGACTGTTCTTGGCTGTCAACCCAACATCTGGCTTAACTAAAACCCAAATGGCTGGGGTACACTTGTGAGAGATTTTACTTATTAAATCATCTGAAATGGGAAGACTCAATTATGATCTGTAGTTTCTGAGGTGGGAAGATCTGCCTTCAATCTGGACCACGCCTTCTGCTTACTGCCTAAAGGACATGGAAGAAGAAAGCTGTTGCTCTTTGCTTGCTTGCCATCACCCTCACTGGCAAATTCATTCTTTCACAGGCATTAGAACCTATTCCTTTGGGATTCTAGAGTATACTGAAGACCAGCTGAGAGTCATCCACTCCCACAGACGAAAAACAGTGACCGGATTCTCAAACTCAACATGTGATACAGTCATGTTGAACTAGCTGGATCACAGCCTGTAAGCCATTCTAATACATATATATGTATGTATGTATGTATGTATGTATGTATGTATAATACATTTGAGTTATATATTGCATAAGACATAAACATCATATATTATATAGTATATAGCATATATAATATAGAATTAAGGTACAATATATAATTTGCATGTTATATTATATATTATAGGTAAATATATAGTTTTATTATATAATTAAATACATATCATTCATTCAATATATATTCACTCTATCAGTTCTGTTCCTATAGAGAAAGCAAATACAGAAAGATGCCTATAAAAAGACTTATCAGTGAATAAGTGGTAAAAAGATTATCAGTAAAAAAAATTACTATACTCTTGATGTGGGAGTGATTTCTTATTAATAAAGAAACTGCCTAGGCCCATTTGATAGGCCAACCCTTAGGTGGGTGGAGAAAACAGAACAGAATTCTGGGAGAAAGAAGCTGAGTCAAGGAGTCGCCATGATTCTCCCGCTCCAGACAGACGCAGGTTAAGATCCTCCCTGGTAAGCCAGCTCGTGGGCTACACAGAATATTAGAAATGGGTTAGAACAATATGTAAGAGCTAGCCAATAAGAACTAGCTGGGCCAGGCAGTGTTTAATAGAATACAGTTTCCGTGTAATTATATAAGCTAGCCATGCGGGCGGCCGGGTGCCGGGGATGCAGCCCCGCCGCTCCTATTTCAACATACTCTTTTTAAAAAAAAATTAGTCAAGGGGAAGGTTTTTTAAAACTTTTTAAAAGACACATAAAAATCTACTACTTTATAAACTAAAAATAAATAAATGAATGATTTCTTTAGAGCATGGAACTTCCAGATGTCATAAAGTTTTTAAACAAGAACTCAGTATCAGGCGCAGAACATCTTCCTATAAGTTGCTGGCCAAAGAGGTCTAAGCACCCAACCCCACCCAAGGAATACAGGCTACTGTCATTGATCTTGATTGCCCCCACCCCAAAACTAGATGGTAAGACACTGTTGCTGAAGATACCACATAAGATTCTTTATTACAGGAAACACAGAAATGAAGGTAGAACTGATCTGAAAACTCTCTACCCATTGGGCAGTGTCCATGGTGCCAGAAGGTGTTATGCAGGCTGCTGGGGGGAAATACATTAATAGTCTCACTCAGCAAAATAATGTGCACCACTAACTCATCAAGTAAAATATATCCACTGGGACAATAGTGGTCTGACTACTTTGAAGATAATCAACTGCTTTGTGATTGCATTTGAGGTCTGCCTCCAAGGGAGGGAGCACACCTGACAGTGTAAACCTGGTCAGAAGCCTGGCCCCAACAAGAAAACACTAACTTTGTTTTCCTGTATGAACATATTGTCAAACTGGCTTCTCAATAATTATGTTTATACTCACAGACACATGTAAGTCTCAGCCCTAGAAAATGCAGCTCCTTTTTGTGGAAGATGATGGTTAGTGGAAAAGAAAAGAAAGAAAAAAACCTCTATCTAATAAGGAGCTGGGACTAAGTGAGTGACTGATGTGCACTCAGCACTAAATGAGACATCTCCATTCACACTTCCCCTCCCAAGGCCCACAGAACATCACAAAAGAGAGGGTGGAAAGAACTGAAGAGCCAGAGGATGGAGAGTGTCATGAAATGCTGCTATCTGGTACAGTATTACTGCTGCAACCATGAACACACACATGCACAAGACTGGGCCCTCTAACTTCCTACCATGGACAGGGAGATGCCTGCTCTGAGAACCTAGTGAATATTAATGGTTACTGGGGGAGGGTAAGTCATTTCTCTAATACAGCCACTGGGGAACTAGGTGGGAAAAAGGGGTTCTGAGGGAAAAAGGGGAATACCAGAGAGTAATGGGGACTAAATATAATCACAATACATTGTATAAATGCATGAAATCATAAAAAAAATTGGGGAGGAACTGGAGAGATGGCTCAATGACTAAAAACACTTACTGCTCATAAAGATGACCGGAGTTCAGTACCCAACTCCCACATGGCAACTGCAACTGTTAACTCCAGTTCCAGGGGATCTGACACCCTCTTCTGACCTCTGCAAGCACCAGGCACACACATGATGCACTTACACACATGCAGGTAAAACATTCATTCTTATAAGTTTAACCGCAATCATCATTTCACAGGAGTTTAATTGAAATTGTCACATATCACAGAAGATACAAATTTTATATGGTTAACATACAGACTTTAAGTCAGAGCAACATGATTATGCCAACTGATGCCCCCAGCAAGGGAAAGAGCCAGTAAAGTCACATGGGCATCTTGTTCAACAAGAGCTATCTTTTGGAGCCTGTTCTTCGGGGTGTGACTCCCTTGGATTATTTAAAATAAAACTACACTGATAGTTATACATTGAGGATATGGTGAGATACAAAAGAATAACGTCAATAAAGAATCCAATTGTGAAATAGATTAAAAGGAAAACAGTATGAACACTGAGTACCAACAGAGTAAAAAGAAAAATGAAGAAAACTAAAATATGGAGTAAAGTTACAACTATTTATGATAGACTTACAAAAATATACCTAAAAGATTCATATAAATAGAAGTTATCTTTGTATTACAGCTAAAGTCAATGCTACCTGGCATGCTAGTAGCCCATACACAGGATTTAATGGGAAGGTCTATATAAGACCTGAACTACTGTCTCTTTTAAAGTCTAGTTTTGTATTATTACCACTAATTTTTTTTTTTGTTTCTACTTTTCCGTTGGGTATTTGTAAGCAAATGTAAATAGCCCCAAATTAACTTTTTCTTTTTCTACTGTTAAGACCACACAAGGATGAAGTCCACAGAGGTAACTTGGGACTTGGGAGGAGCCCTGGGCTCCTTTAATTTTCTTTATCTATGTTATTAGCTGCTATGGGTAAAGGTCTTGCTGACCGTGTGCTTTCTCTTGGAAGCACTGGACAAAGTTTCCTGTGTTGGCCTTCCTGTTCATAGAATGTAAAGTGGTTGAGTCCAATCTCTGAATCAACAGAACAGATGGGTCACCAGAGCTGTAGGTCAGAGTGTCCATCATTCGATGGAATGCAGCTGCACGAGGGCAGGGGTTAAAATTCTGTCTGCCCCTTTAGTCTCTCTGTTTAGCATCAGTTTACAAGGACGCTTACTAAACAACACCCATAAGGTCACTTACCAAGTGCTGAAAAACAAACCTTGCTTTAAAATTTAGTTGTTACTTGGCAAAAACATATTCTTTCAAGTAAACCAGATTTAAGACTCTATTTATTTTCTCCCAAGACAAGGTTTCTCTGTGTAACAGTCCTGGCTGTCCCGGAACTTGATTTGTAGACCAGCCTGGCCTTGAACTTACTGAAATCCTCCTGCCTCTGCCTCTCAAGTGCTGGGATTAAAACGTGTGCCACCACTGCCTGGCTAAGTCTCAATTTCTTAATTAGAAGCCTAGCATGATTCGTATAAACTATTAAATTTATTTTGAAAAAATAAATATATATATATGATTT